ACTGATTATTTTGAGTTAATCTTGTATCCATCTACTTTGCTAAAGGTGTTTATCAGCTGTAGAATTTCCCTGGTAAAATTTTGGGGGTCACTTATGTTTACTATCCTATCATCACGCCTGCCTTCTTCAGAGTCTGACCATCTGCATGTGGACATTTCTCCTGTTCCTGGGATCACACAACTCTCAGTTTACACTCTTCCCTGATGCTATTTGTTTTATTCAGATTCCTGTATTTTAGTCTGATTCATTACAGAGTAAATCAATGTCTCCTCCACTTTTATTTTTCTTATTATTATGTTCTTATTATCACTTTCAGTAAAATTTTAGTCAATGCTTATAGATTTATTTTGAATTAAATTATATAAATCTTATAAATATCTCATGATAAGAAATAACAGCTTATTTAGAGGTTTAATCTCCATGATGTATCACTTTCAAAGTGATTCACTTTTACCCCTACTCAGTCTAGACTGTCATGTCTTCTGACCATCTTGCATTTCCTCCATCAGGAACTAAAGGAGTGAAGGGGGTTGCTTTTGTGTGACATGTGGAGTTATGGCCTCAAGTCACCTTTGCTGATTGATGGTGTTGGTCCACTAGGGGGCACTGCAGGCTTCCCAGAAATGACTTTCTCAAGTTCCTGAAGGGTTGGGCAGTTTAAAGAGACCAGAGAACATGTGAGGCTGTCAGTCACAGACAGCAAAGTTTATTCCTGGTTGTTAGCTGTGCTATTCTGTGGAACCATAAAACTTGAGGTGACTGGAAATCCACTCTGAGGATGATTTCTTGAGGACAGATGAGGAAATAGAATTTTACTGTTCAACATGACCTCTGAAGCTCAATAGAAAAGATCTAACTCCATGACTTCAAGTTTTAAAATTTTATGATGAAAATCTTCAGAGTTCATGTACCCTGAAACTATTCCAATACCTGTGATAGCCAAACTTTTCATTGACTCCTCTCAGACTAGCAGGAACACAAATAATTAGTCGAAGGGATGAAAATAATAAGGCACAAAAAGAAGAAGAAAATAGAGAAAATACTATTGAACTTGACCAGCAATGTGTGCATCTGCAGGGTACAGGGGAGGGACTGGAAAAGGACAGAGGTAGAAAATGAATCAGGGTGAATGTTGTGTTTATGATCTGATTGTTTTAACAAAAGAAAGTTTCATTGGAAAAATTACTTAGCAGTTGGTGATCTGCTGATTTCAAGAAAGTATATTTATTCCTCAACACACATTGCACACCATCAAAGAGTTTTCTTTTATCAGAAGTTTCATACAACTGATTTCTCAAATTCTGTAAAATTATGTAAAATAGCTTATTCTCTCTATCCTTCTAAGTTTTATGATGTATGAAGATCTCGGCTCTTTCCTTATATATAATCCCCTCCTTCTCACAATTTCCCTCAAATATCTCTTACTTTAACTGTTACAACATACAAACAAACAAATAAACCCTTTCTAGTTTTCAAGCTGTAGATGACATAGCTTCCTGTTCCCTGCAGGGTTTTCATCCACAGCTAGGGAGCAGTTATTGTGAGGCCTCACAGGGCTGCTGTGGGTGGGGATTTCCATCAAGATGAAAGAGCTCAGATTTTATTGGTGCCTGGTGAACGAGGGAGAGCCTGCTGTGGGTTGGAACTAAGTTAGACACTGTCTGGAGCTGGGTGAAGGAGTCTCAGCAGTTTGACAGGATCCATGGAGAGGAGCCTGGGAGCTGTGCTGGGGCTGCTGTGGGTGCAGGTTTGCTGTGAGTTGTGGCTCTCCCAGATGGGTTAGGGGTGTTCCAGAGCTGCCAGCGGGAGGGGCGGAACACAGCTGACCCAAAGCTCCTCATGGCTGTCTCCTGGGATATCTGACAGGGTGGAACCTGCAGAAGGATTGTCATTTTTTTCCTTTCTCTCTGAGCAGGGGTGAGAGGGATGCAGGTGGAACAGAATCCTCCAGCCCTCAGTTTCCAGGAGGGAGCCGGCTCTTCTCTGACATGCAATTTTTCTACAACCATGACAACTGTGCAGTGGTTCCGGCAGAATCCCGGCAGCAGCCTCCTCAGGCTATTCTTCATGACTCCAGGAACAAAGGAGAATGGGAGGTTAAAGTCAACATTCAACTCCAAGGAGCGCTACAGCACCCTGCACATCAAGGATGCCCACCTGGAGGACTCAGGCACCTACCTCTGTGCTGCTGAGGCACAGTGCTCCCAGCAAGCCTGAAGCCTGACCCCAAACTGCAGCTGGGTGTGCAGCTACAGCCCTGCCACAGGCAGACTCTGCAGGAGGCTTTGCACAGCTGTGGGGTTTCCAATTTATGCTGTTTCTCTGTCCTCTCCACTAACCTAGACAGTTCAGGATTGCTGTTTCCCACCAGTGCACCCTTTCCTCACAGATTCCCGTTTTCAGGAAGAAGTTCTCATGAAGAGTACTGGGACAACTGACAAAGATGACAAGGTTCACAGTGCTGTCAGGTAGACCCACTGCACAGTGTTCACTGCTCTTCAATCATTGCTCTACAAAGGCATCACACAGATGTGCTCTCCAGCAAACAGAAAAGAGATTATTCAGTGTTTCAGTCAATTGCATATCTTTCCATTATCAGAAGAATGGGACTTTTATTAGGTCTTTTGAGAATTTCATGCAATGGACTTTGATCATATTCAGTTCTCCACCAATTCCTACCAGTCCCACCTCTCCTCTTTACTTTCCAGCTTTTCTCTCTTTGTTTCTGGGAAAAGACAATACTTTCAATTACGGTTTGTGCTGTCCATACCTTTTGAATGTGTTGCCTTCCCTGGAGTGTGGTTGACCTCCTGGGGCCATAACCTTAAAGAAAAAAGATTCTCACTGTTCCATTTGCTATCCAATGTCGTTATATCCTTAGTTAAGAATGAGACTTTGTACTCATACCCCACGCTAGAATTTTGGGTATCTTGGGTTTGTGTAGGTTTGTGTGTTCTATTCCAACGGCTTTGAGTTCATATAAATTAATTCTCCTTATAATTGAAAATTCAATGATAAAATGCATCAGTAAGCATTGTCATGTACATCCAGAATATATGGGTTTGAATGAAAATTGCCCCCATAGGCCCATACAATTGTATGCTTTGTCCTCAGTTGAAGAACTGTTTGGAAAGCATTAGGAGGTGTGGTCTTGTTGGAGGAAGTGTTGGAGGAGGTGTGTCACTGGAAGTGGCTTGGGGTTAAAAAGTCCACACCAGACCCAGTGTCTCTTTTTCTGCCTGTGGCCTACTGATCAGGATCGAAAATTTCTCAGCTATTTCTTCAGGACCATTGCAGCCTGCTGTCATGCTCCCAGCCATGATGATAATGGACTACCACTCTGAAACTTTAAGTAAGCCCCAAATTATATTTCTTTTATAAGTTGCTTGGTCATGGTGTCTCTTTATACTAATAAACAGTAACTAAGATAAAAATAATGAAGCCATTTTCACTTTGTCAGGTCTCCTAAACTTACAAAAAAAGTCTGAAATATTAAACCATTACTATATAAGTCTATGTTTATAATAAAAGAAGACTTACACAAAACTCATTTGTATTAGGAGTTAAATCATTT